GGAGCTCCTTAACACAGGAGGAACCAGTTCTCTTCAATACCTGTCTGCCCAACCACATGTCTCAGCTGCTCTCAGTCCCTCAGGATCCCTGGGGCAAACTACACCACCTTCTTTTGTTTCCTATAAATTGCTTTTTGGAGCTGCAGAGATGACTCCTTTCAAATATACATGACTCAACCTCTAGATTTTTATGTCAACTCAATCCTTTTATTGATTTTTCTGCGGCAAGACTGGAATAGTGTGAGCGTTTGGTCAGGTTTTTCCATTAGCTGCAAAGAATGTACGAGTCCCTAGACCCAGGAAAGTCACCTTACAGATACCAATTGTGTAACACAAACTTTTCTTTTTGAAGGATCTCTGAGCTGTAGTCTTCTGTATGTATCCGAGCATTGCTGGAAGTGTTTTAAGCTTCAATTATCCGTCAGGCAACAAACTAATTTGCCTGGTAATCAGTTCCAAAAGCAGCCAGCACTTCTATTTCCACTTTCAGCCTTAGCAAAATTGAAAAACACAGCATCTGTCATTTACGGGTTTCTTACACAGTCATCTAGATATAGGCAGAATAAACAAAGGAATCTTTTGAGGTTACTTCAGGTTGTGAAGTGCACAAGAAATAAGGAAACATGGAGAAGAATATAAAACTTGGAGCTAATTGCATTTCAAGAGCGACATGGAGGCTGCTAATTCAGCTTTATCTTTTGGCAGAACAGAGGCTTATAATAAGCACTGGAGTTATACAAGATTTTATTTGGTTTTTCATTTGCTCTTTTACTTTACACAAGTCCCTGTTGTGCACAAGTTTGGTTTTCCTTTTTCTTTTGAAAGTGGCGTGATTAGAATTCTCTTTACCAACTAAAACAAAAGCTTTGATAGATTTTAGTGGAAGTTATGTAAGTTTTTCTGAAAACATTATCATTTTTCTAAGGTAAAGTAAGGAAAGACTAGAACAATGACTGGTTTCATAAATTAATGTTAAAGTAGGTTGAACCTACAGGTATGCACCTTAGAGGAATTAACTGAAGAAATAATTGAAATTTTATCATTTAAATTTGAAGACTATTGAAGGATTAATGTGACTCTCCAGGAAAGTGTGATGTCCTTTTTCAACCTACTTTTAAAGCTAACTGTATGATTGTTAGCCTAACTTAATGCCCGGAAAGATACTGGAACAAATAGCTTTCTTATAAAATATCCAGAGGATGATGAGTAGCAGGGATTTCTGGGGGGGAATCTATCTCACACGAACCACTTTGTCTGTGGGAGAGTAACAAGGATGCACAGCACAGGTCTGTAGTCCTTGTGGGCATCAGTTGTGTAACAGGAACTCTCTTGTCTTTTTGAAGGATCTCTAGTCCAGGGAGAAATTAGCAGTAGTTCAGTGTCAAACCAAAAAGGTATATTAACTGTAAGGCTTAAAATGGTTCTGTCCAGATTCTGTTAAAATTCACCATTTTTATTAACTATTCCAGCAATAGACTGCTAGGTATGTTTATTGAGGTTTTCCAATCTGAGAAGTGCTGTTGGCACTGCAGAGGTCAGAATCCAGAATGGTGCTTGAAAACTGAAAGGAAAAACCCTAAAATTCACGAAGGGCAGGGACATTCAACCACTGTTATTTGTGGGGAAAAGAATTTAATTTTTTTTCCCCCAAATGATGTAAACTGACATGGGCTATATAGTAAGTGTGAAAGAGCTTTTCCATTCTATAAAGCAGTGATGAGGCTTGTGCTGGATCACTGTGGTGAGGCTTAGATACTATACTTGAAGAAAGATGTGGACCAGTTGAAAGAGAATCAGGAGAGAACCATAAAAAATATTTAGAAATCTAGAAAACACAAGGGAACAGGAAACATTGAAAGGACTGAGTTTATACAGTCTAAAGAAGGTAAGATTAAGGCATGACAGGTGTTAGGAATCGTAAAATGCTGATGCAGAAAAGAAATATTCTAGTGAGGTAGTAGCAATCTTGAATTTGAGAGAGGAAAATTTAGGCCAGGTGCTAGGAAAAGGTTTTGAATAATAAGAATAGAGAAGTACTGAAACATGACTTACGGGGCTTGTGGAATCTCCATTACTAAAGGTTTTTAAAAACAGATGAGAAAAACTGTGAGAAATAGCTAAACTAGAACTGATCCTGCCTCTAGGTAATAGGATGGACTAGCTGGATGGTCCCTCCTGGCTCTTATTTTCTATTACCTTTCTTTTTTTAATCATCAAGTGTACATCCCAAGGCTCCAATTACATGTGTTTTCACACTTTCCCCTTGTGTTTAGCTTTTAGGAGGAAGCAATCACTTTCCCATGTTAATGGCTAGACTTTCTACTAGTGTTACCAAGGCATCCTCAGAAGAATCCAGATACCAGGGTCATATGCGAGGCAAGCATCAGTTTTCGTAGATGATTGTTAAAAATTGGAGCACCATTACCAGGATTAACATTACTGAATAGTGTTTAGTCATTCCATTGTATTCAGGTAAAACCCTCATTTAGAAAGGTGTTCTGGCTTTCATATTCTTTTAATTAATTAGATGATTTGCAGCATAATCTAAAATTTTTGGAGCCTCTGAGCCACAAGAGGGAAGAAGTAGTTCTAACATCTGGGTTTCCCCATTTTGATCCCCAGTGGGGTCAGTAACAGTCAGTTTTATTATTTATTATGCATTATTCATTATGCCATCTCTTTTTATGACTCTGAAGTGATTTGTATGCTGTTGTAGAAGGTAGAGCCCTATTGTCTATCAATGTACACATTGCTTGGATTTCTCATTTTATTTGCAAAAATAATAAAAATTCTGCCTCATGGTTCTTGGTCAAAACGTTCTATTATCCTCTTCTGGAACATGATCTTGTATGAAGAAAAAGCATACCAAGCACCGCTATTCTATTATTATTTAAATTATTCCTCTATATTATTGTTTTTGAATATTTATTAGTTTTTTGATAACCTCTTTCATTATTCATAAAGGGTAGCCACGCAGTTTGATGGAAAAAGCAGTACAATGAAACCTTATTTTGCATAGCTGGCATCTTTCATACAAACTGTTCTCCTGTGGGTTTTTTTTAAACAAAGGCCTGCAAGATGCTGGGAACTTCTGTTGTGTTTCTTGCAACATCCCCTCCCTGTTGGTTTCAGTGGGAGGGGAAGGCATCCAGCACCTTGCCACCCTATACGCTCTAGCATGGTTAGGGATGAAATAATAAATATCCCCCAAGAGCGATGGAAATGAAGAGGCAAAGGTCATGAAAGAAAGATGTCTTTTCACATAAGATATGAAAAACGTATGAAGAATTACTGACGGAGAGAGAAAGAGAATGAAAGGTTGTTTTAGGTGATTTATGGGATTTTTCTTTTGAAGCCCAGAGGACTCCAAGGAAATAAGGGCAATTGCTGTACTGACTGCAGTATCTGTGTGTATGTCAAGTGTCTGACAGGAGTCAGCATCAAATACTTCACAGGAAGGCATAAAACCCCACAGTAAGCAGATTGGGGAAGGATTATTTTCGTGCACTAGGTCTCATCCTCATCTCTAATATGTATAGGTTTGCTTAAACCCTGAGGTATAAAGTTTAGTGTCTATTCTAAAAAGTTTCTCATCACTACAGGTATGCGTTGCTCTTAGTGTTCTTGTTATCAATATACCTACAAAGTACTCTTTAGACATACTGGTAGATACTTGGTCTCAACAGCATTTTGCATCAGTGATCTCTTAGTCTGATAATACAGCTTTAGTGTAGATGGATGCTTCTGTTTATTGCTTTTGAATTTGGCATGTTCTATGTTCATTGACTATCCCCTTTCTCTTGTTTTATATTTTTGACTCAGGGCTCGCTCTCCTCAACTTGCATTACTATGACAACTACTAAATCTTAGAATATCTTTTGACTGCCTTGTTTTTATTAAATCCTCCACTTCATCTCTGGAAGACTGTGTAGTGAATTTGGCATTTTAATGTATCTGACTTCTTGTTTAATTGCACCAGCCTCTTGTGTGATACAAGTCCTTCGCCAAGACAGCCTGCTTAAAATCTGAAATACAAAATGGGCCTCGGGAAAGGTCAATTTTTGTGTTAATAACTTTTGTAGATCAGTGTGAAGCTTGCTTGACTCTGAAGAGCCTGGATTTTAAAAAACATGGTAGTCCAGTGTAGGATTATTGACCAATTTCTTTTTGTTTCCAGCTGAGCTGCCAGGATCGTCTGCAATCAAGCTCTCCTCCTTGCATGATCTTCCAGCTCAGCTGCAAGAATTGTACCAGCAGGGCTTCATCTTGGCTGCTGTCCACCCTTTCGTGCAACCAACTGATGAAAAAGAGAAAACTCCCCAGGAACAAATCTTCAGGGCTGTGCTTATCAAGAAAACAGAAAGGTAAAGCACTTCCAGTGAACTGGGATAAAAATAGACAATGTGATTTCCTGCTACCTACATCAGGAAATTATAGCAGAGTTTACTGTGCAAGGCTTGATTATTTTTTTTTTGTGGGCTTGAATAGGCTTAACATGTTCTTCATGTTTACAATTCATCTGCAGTTTGGCAGATGACTCGGAGAATAACAAGTTGAAATATGCTCTGTATTTTGGGATGTGTTGTCATGAGAGGCAAACAAACAAGCCCGATGCCTGACAATTTGTGAGGATGGTCCTGTTGGTACCCTTTAAGAATTTATTAGATTAAATTAAGACAGAAGAAATGTTTTCTTAGAAAAGGCATATTTTGTGTTTAGATGGTTACAGTTAATGCAGTTAATTTGAGGATGGCAGTACTAATGCATACTTCTGATGTTTATGTGTAGACTTTAGACTCTTCTTTCCTCTAAACAATGCAAGTTCTTTTAATTTTTCAATCAGTGCAAACTCCTTAAATAAAAAGATGACTGTCCTGCTTTGTTCAGTCTCTTAAAATGTATTGAGTATTTTACATAATCAAAGTCTGAAGATGAATAAACAAACAGCAATACTGTTCTTTTATGTTTTAATCTGATTTTGTAAAAAATCAATAGAATGTGCTGCTAAATAACCCAGAAGAAAATTAAAATGTGAATATTTATAAACATATCTTCAGGATTTTTAGTTAATGATTTAAAACATAATTTAATGTTATCTGACCACCCACAACTCTGCAGCTACCTATGTTGTTGCAGCCATTTTGTACAGTTTTCCTACATTAGTTACATTCCCCAGTCCACCCCTTCTTAACAGTGACCTATGCGGAAGGCTGGGGGGTAATTAAACTCCATTTGCCAATTCTAGTCCCTCTCTTCATGCTGATGCTTGAAGGAAGGGATGTAACTGTTTTAGACACCTCTTAAAACTAAAGTAAAACCACCATTCAATTTGCTACATCCTGGTAATCAGTTGGTAGCAATTACGAACAGGGTCAAACTTCAGTCTGTGACCTAGGAAAAAATTTTGCATTTTATTAACAAATATATGTAGGCATATATATTTATGTAGGCAATATATATTAGGTGTTGCAGGCAATTTTAGCTTCTAAAATAACTCTCAATTTACCTTAACTTGCTTTTAGTGTTATTAATACAGAACTTCATGCTGGCTTGCCTGATATTATTGTTTAAAGGGTTTCCAGTTTTATGGTCAAAACATAAAATGTTTGGCTGAACAGTGGACTTCTTGAGTAATATTGGGCTGAGCTTGCCTGGTTTTGGAGCCTTGCTTTCCCTGCCTACAAAATATCCTGTGGCAAATAATGAAAGTATTTACATGCATGAGTTTGCAATGTTAAGTAAGCACTTCAGCACTTCTGCTGGATTGGGGTCCAAGGGTTCAACATCTTCCAGGACTGAGCTGTGAAGACACATCAGGGAAGAGCAACATCCTTCTCGGCAGAGCAATAAGGTCTTCAAGCCAGAGCACTCAGTGTGTCACTGCTGTCTCGTACTGTATCCAATAGTTTACATCTGTGCGGAATGATTATGAAAGAGTACAAAATCCTAATTTCCTACTCACTCACTTGGGTGCCAGTGTTTTACACACTTTAGACAGCTGTAAATGACTGTATAAAATTGAAGACAGTAGAGAGTCTTGAACCAATTATATTTCCTTTTACATTCACACTCCATTTCTTTACATTCCCTTATCTGTCATTTCTGACTGCCTAGGGAAGCAGAAGAGACTTGGTGCAGCAGGAGAAAACAGTCAAATACCAGGAAGGGAAACGACATCAGTTTGGTGTTTCACGTAGTTTAAATGTTCCCGGGTTTGGCTGAGAGTATGGGAGAAGCTGCTTCCATAGCGTGTAGGTGCAACGAATGTTTGCATTGCTAAGCACAATGAAGAGAGATGGGTGTTGTACAGATTTCAGATTACTCTGGCCTGCATAGAGATCAGCTGTATTTGAACTGTGAGTTTATCCCATTCCACTAATACCTGGGGAGAAAAAATATGCTAAAGTAGGGAAAAAAAAAAAAAAGAGACATACTGTTAATTGTTTTAATTAACCTTTCTCATTACACTGCTGATGAAGAATAAATTATACTTTTTTGACTGAGGACTACTGGGTCTCTGGCATCCATAGACTGTCTCTGTAGGAAACAGTTGAACTCTTGGGTAGAAGTTAAAGTCTGCTTAGGATATTTTTTGATCAGATGAGCATTTATTTCTGTTGTAAGATTTTAGGAGTGTAAATAGTCCAGCTACAGTTGTGGGATCACTAGTAACATCATTTCTGCTCTGAAGTACAAAGTGGTCCCCTGCCATTTTCTGTAACAGTGGTGCCGGACATTCATGGGGAGCCAAGGAGTCATAAAAAGCTCTGTACCTTGGTGCAGGGCCCACGCTCAGGCTTCCCGGGCACTTTCTGCAAAACACCTGAGGCTGTAGCTCCTTTGTCACCGCAGGTGTTTCTCCACAGATGGCTCCAACTCTATACATTTCATCTGTCAGTTGTCTGGCAGATACCAGGTGCGGTTTTTCACCATGCTGTTTTTGTTGCCTGGATGGAACAGAAATGAAATTGTTGTATTAGTGCCTTTTTGGTACAGTAATGCAGTAATACACAGTCAGTTCTGTGTATACAGAGACAGAACTGAACACATGAGTTAGTTTTTAATCAGTGTTGCACCTTTATATGTCAGTTTTATGTTTTAAAATTAATTATGTTGACTCACATTTTGAGGGCTTAGTTTTATAGCACTGCCTCTCCAAAGGTAGGAAGAGGCTATACTAGCTGCAGCGGATGATGTGTGTCAGGAGCTACATGCTGCTGCTATTGCTGAGATTTGCAGTGCCTTAATTTGTTCAAGAAATGAAATGGAAAAGGTAGTGCTTAGACATGGGATGCACTAGAACTCGTGCATAGGAAAAAGTACCTATTCGTGTTATTCCTCCTGTTTTGCCATTGTCCTGGAGTTCTAAAATACTCAGTGTGAATTTGCAATGTCGTTGTATGTTTGAGGTAACTTTTAAAGTCACTACGATAGTTTTGTGTCTAATCTGTACTGGTATCTCTGTGGCTTCATTCATCTTAGCTGTCTAATAATTTTTGGTTAATAAGGAAGTAGGGGTAATTCCTGCTCTAGGATGTTTGAGGAAACACATTCCTAAATATGGAAGCTGTAAACGTTGAAAAGCAAGGCTTGTCCCTTGGAAATGTTAGGGAGAATATGCAAGTAACAAACAGATTTATTATTTTAAAATCAACAATACAGTTGTTTACACTGCAAAAAGTGTCATGTTCAATTAACCTAAATGAATTAAGTATAGGAGTGTTTAATACTTTAGAGGCACTGGGCCTGAAGGTAGCCTACCACGTAGCTGAAGGACTCTGCCATTGCTCTCATTAAATTTAATAGAATAATTTAAAATATTTCTGTAGCACCTAATTGCATTGTGCACACTAATCAGTTGATTGGAAGTGGTTTGGAAGTCGAATAGAATAGAGTTGGATAGAGGAATAACAACTTCAGTGCTCCTGTGAATACTTTCTCTAAATTTCAATGGACTTCTTAATTAAAAAGCAATTGACTGTTTTACTGTCTGTGCTGAGTTCTGGGATACTTGGGTTTCTCAGAGAAGGCACCTCATAAAAAATATGCAAAGAAAAATCTTCAAGCCCAGGTTTTTACAGTTGGGTTTTTTTAATGAATGTAGGGAAGGCTCCAGGTGTGAGGTATAGCCCCTGGCTTGCCGGCTCGCATTGATTCACACTTGAGAAAAGTTGATTCACACTGATTTACACTTGAAGACAAGAATCTCAGGGAAAAGGACATATGGTGGTACCCTGGAAAGCGCAAACGTGTGACAGCATATCTCTCCTGATGCAAGGAACAGGGGAAGGTCCGTGCATTTGGGAGGTTCTGACTAACCAAGATAAGGAGAGTAGCACGTATGTCACTTATGCTGCCCTGAGGAACAGAGATTGTTAGTTCTTTGTGTGTGTAATAACCTTTCTCTCTGCCCTTTTATTTCCATACTCGCTAGTTTTTAATATAACAATCTTTGTTTAGGTGTCTTGTGCGCGTTACTATTTCAGACAGGTTGTGGCTGTTGCAGATAACCTGTTCCCTGCAAAGAAATTGCAAAGTCAGCCCCTGAACAAAATTGTAACAAAACCATAGCACAAAGCTGCTTTATTTTATTCCCAGCTCCCTGTAATGTGACACTCCTGGTATCTGGTATCTTAAAGTTTGAAAATTCAATGTCAATTAAAATGTTTTAATCTCCCTTTCTAAATACTGTGCACTAGAAAGCAAGCTCCATTCTCTTCCACTAGGAAGGATGCATGGTCCAGGCTCATAAACTGCTTACAATAGTTTTGACATGTTTGCAGGTGCTCTGTTTCACCACAGTAGAGTGAAGCAGAAGAGGGATATAAATTGAATTTCAGAGAGGTCTTTCTCTCCATTGTTCCATATATATTTTAGGACATACCCTTCTACAGGTTTTGCTTCCAATCAATAAAGCAATCAGCAGGGAAACATTGCTGTGCGGAAGTAGACTAAGCAGTATAACTTAAGGATAAATTTTTTAGGGTAGATTTCTATGTTTACCTCAAACAACTTTGCAGCTGTTTTCCTTTTCTGTAAAATAATGAGGTGTCAGGTGTTCCAGTGATTCACTTGATGAGATGATTCTGATACTATTTCTATAATTTCCCTATATCCATTAATCCTGATGAAATGCAAACTTTCATCAGTTGGCCAAAAATAATTCTGTTTATCTGCAAAGGAATTTGACAGGCTGAGTTCAAAAGTTCAATAGTAAAACAGGATCTTTACAGTTTCTTTTTTTTTTTTTTTTTTTTGCTGGTATGCAACATTAATTCCAAAGGATTTCAATTAATGGTGTCTTCTGAAATACAGCTAATTTTTTGTGTCCTCTGTGTCATGTAAAGTCTGGATTTACCGAAAA